TAGCAACTAGCTACTAGACTCAATTGTTTATTCATTGATGGATTACATTGCTCAATATTTGAAAAAATTGTATTAAATATGATGAATATTTTTTCTCTTATGGTTTTTTCCAGGCCAAAATTATTTTCATAAAGTTTACATAATATAATACTTTTTAATCATTCAACTATGACTGTTACTCACGACAGTAAAACGGGACTAGTCTCCTAAAGCTATATGCATTTTAACTTGGTTGGGAAAATCTAACTGATTACTTAATGTCTCTAGTTCATCTGTGAAAAAATAGCTTTAATTTTTTCTTTGTTAGTAAATTTGTCCTGCATGTTTTATTCTTTATTTCTTTCATAACTTTTTCCATTTGTTTTTTATTTTCCCCTTATAGTGTGCTTGGGTCATATCAACATCTCAACCTGATGTAACAACTATGTAACATTAGTATTTCAAATTCATGTAACATGTGTATGTTTGGAATCTTAAATGACCTCCAAAAGCTCACTTGTTGAAGTCTTGGTCCCCAGCTAATGCTTCCATTGGGAGGTGATGGAACTTTTAGGAGGCAGAGCTGGTTGGGGGACGTAGTCACTGGAAGTATACCCTCTGAGGTTCTATTAGGACTCTAGCCCCTTCTATCTTTCTCTTTCTCTTCTTCCTGGCAATACGTGGTGAGCAACTTTCCTCTGCGTTCATTTCTACCATGTTGTTCTTCCTCCCCACAGGTTCAAAATTAATGAAGCCAAGTGAGTAGGGTACTGAAACCTCTGAAACTGAGTTTGGATAAGTCTTTCCTTCTTTTGTCTCTTTGGGGTATTTTGTCACAGTGACAGAAAGCTGATAAACACAACATGTATACAGTTCCAGTTAGGACTAGAACCCACATGGTGGGTTGTTAGATATGGAAAATTATTACATTCTAATAAAAGCATGGAGTTGGGAAGCCAGTGATGCACCTCTGTAATTCCAGTACTCTTAGAGGTGGAGGCAAGAGGATCAAAAATTTAAGCCCAGCTTGGGCAATTTAGCAACTAGCAAGACTCTATCTCAAAATAAAAAGTGCAGAGGCCTGCGTTTTAATCCTCAGTACAAAAAGAGAGAGGGAGAGGGGGACAGAGAATGGGCTGTGGGTACCGCTCAGTGGTGGAGTGCATGCCACACTGGGTATCAGAGCTTTCTAGACAAAAGGAGAAAAGATTTATTTTGGCTCACAGTTTCACAGGGTATCCTGCTCACTTGGCTTTGTTATTTCCTGGCCTTTGGTGAGGCCAGAGCTGGTATGAAGGCTCTGGGCAAGCAGGAGGTAACCCTTTGGACTAATGGTGATAGCAATTCCTGGGACAAGTGTGGAGAATAAGACCTGGGACACAGCTGTCCCAGAGTGTGCAGCAGAAGCAGTGACAGTTGCAGGGATGGAGAGAAAGTCAGGATCAAAAGGAGTCTTGCCTGAAGGCTCTCACAGGAGCAGGAGACCTTGGTCAGTCTATGCTGAGAAGGCTATGTGGGAAAGTTACTGCAAGGCCAGGCCAGGCCAGGCCAAGCCCACAAGATCACTCATTTGTGCAACAGCTGGATACATTCGAGGCACACTTCCTTCCTCAATGTCTGTCTGCCTGACACCCTCTATTGAGAAAATTTAACACTGTATTTTCTGTGGAGATGCTTGAAGGAGTTCTGTTTATGACTACAAAACATATATTAAAGTGTGAACTGGAGCACAGAGGCAGCAAATGAATAACTGGAACAGTGTTTACCTCATATATCTGTCAAGGTAAGTGTGTTTGGAGGAGTTGCATGTGGATGCTCCAGCAAAAACAATCCATATCAGGACACTTATCAGCAACAGACAAATAAATACAATTAAACCACATTTTAAATGGCTGGATATTCAGATACCTTATTTTTTTTCTATGCCCATTTTACAATTATTTTTTAAAAATAGAGACTTGACTGCAATTTTAGGTATTCTGTTATAGCAGTAAACATACTAAGTCTAGTCATTTCTAGTTTTTTGGTATTTTGAATATACTTGCTCTGAGCATGAACTTTTGTGGAGCACTTTCTTTTGGATATGTATATCTAGAAATTAAATTTCTTTCTTCTAATTTTGGTAGATATTACCAAATATTTTTGAAAGTGTTTGAAATACATTTCCACTCCCACTGAACAGTGTAAGGATTACAGTTGCTCTACATTCTTGCTAATCCTTGATATTGTCACTTTTTGTCCTTAGCTATTCTTATGGGTACATTCTTTTAAAATTAAAATTAATTATAAATATGTAGTTACATTTCTCAACCTTTAACTCAGCATTAGCAAAGAACACATTTCCCTCAAATGTTACCTGAAATTTCAAAGTAAAAAAATAGCAATAGAATTTTTGAAAATGTGTTCTCTACTTATATATACTTCCGCATAATGTGTACACTAACTCTGCACTTGAAAAAATTTATAGTCACAATATAAATGTTTGCTCATTTAGCTGAGTCTTTTTGATTCCAAAATGAAGGGAAGGTAAGGGGATGTAAAAAGAATTAAGATGTATTATGTACATGTACCAACTCCCCATGATGGATGTCATCAATATGTACTGCAAACATAGTCATAAAAACAAAAATTAAAAAATTAATTGTATAATATGGTAGGGAAAATTTTGATTATATGAACCTTTTGCCTATTTAGATGCTCTAAAACAGTAACTGAAGTCTTCAGGTAAAGGTTAAATACAGCTACACCATCAATATATAGAATGGTGGTAAAAATACAGGCCAGGAGTCACAGTACCAAGTTTCAATCCTAGCTTTGCTAGGATGTTGACTAAAACAATTTTCTGTCGTTTTATTTCCTAATTTTCAATATAGTTTGAATAACAATAGCTGTACCATGGGTTGTTGCTAAGATTAGAATGTAAAAGCAAAAAGGACTTAGAAGAATGCAGGCATACAGAAAGTACTATTAAATATTTGGGAGAATGGAAGAAATTTGTTTTCATGAAGGTTTGGCAGATTTGGACCATATCCTCATCCATATGTCCGGCACATAAGGTTCTGAGCAGAATCTCCCTTGTTCGTAGCCCCTCAATATTTCTTGGACATTACTCAGTGACAATCACTGTGTTGTCTTTCAGATTATCAACAGCTTCTTCCCTGTATCTGAAAACTCCAGCTGAAAAGCATAACTTTAGACTTTCTCAACTTTTAATGCTAGATGCAGTTTTAAATTAAGTCTTTACACAAGTGCAGCCTTTCTAAGAGAGTTGCTGCACTTTAGAAGGGCACTTTCTCAGCCCTAGCTAATACCTTCCTGCAACTGTCTCCAGTTTGCCTTCCCTCTGCACCTCTTGATGTCTACCCAACGAAATTATAGCCTCAGGGTCAAGTTAAAGTTTAGCTAATGTACAGGCAATTCTGCAATTTGTATGTGTAAAAGGTTAACGGCATGGTTTCTAATAAATCAGACTACCTAGGTTTCAAGCTTGGTTTCAGTTCTTCCTAGCTGAATGTCTACAGGCAAGCTATTTAACCTCTTTGTGCCTCTGTTCTTAGGGGTAAAATGGGGACATTAAAAGGGTTATTAAGCACTAAATTAACACATATATATGTATTTCACACATTGAACAGTACCAGGCACTTAATGCTATCTAAATATTACTTATGACTGGGCAATTATTAGAAACAATAATCAATGTATTTCTCAAGCCCCAATAGACCCCCAAATATATTTTTGAAAGCTATCTTATTGGGAAATTAGGCAGTCAAAAAATTTGGGTGCTTGTTCTGAGCTACTTTCCTTAATAAAATCTACCGCAGGGCGCCGTCTTGAAGGTAAAATTCGGCCAGTTTCAAGAAAAGCTTTAGATTTTCTTCATCGCGCTTTCTCAATCTGAGGTACGATCCTGCAACTTTTCCCCAGCTTTCCTTCCTTCTTCGGAGCATCCCACTTTCGAGGGTTTTCGTTCTTCCAGCTCTTCCAGCTCGCGAGAATCTTCCCGTCATTTGCAAACCCCAAGCAAGGCTAAATACAGCGGAAGGCCAACTGAGGCCACCCAGCGAAATTCTCACACTCAGACATTCAGCTGAGTTTCCGGAAGTTGCACAGAAGGATGAAGAGCACCACCCCATCACGCGTGCTGTCTAGAAGCCCCCGCCGGAGCCGCAGAGCATGCCGGGAATTGTAGTTCTGAACGAGGCCTCAGTCCAGTTTGCGCATGCGTGTTGAGCCCTTCCCCCCCTCCCCTCCCAGGCTCCTCCGGATAAGGAAGGTGAGCTCGCTGCCACGCGTTCCTTGCGCCACGGGCAGGCGCTTCTGGGAGTTGTAGTCGCTGCGGGCAAGCGCCGTCGGTAAGGAGACGTAGCTTTCGGTGGGGTCCGCTACAGCAGAAGGTTCCCGACCCGCCCTCAGGGTCCGTCTGCCGCTTTTCCTCAACCGCCCTGAGGTGGGAGCGGCGCTCCCCATCTCCCGACTCTTCCTCTCCCGCGCTAAGTGCTCTCTGCCCCGCAGTCCATTTCTCTGCCCAGTCCTCGCCCTCTTCGGTCCGTCTGCGGAGCCCGGGCTTCCCGGAGACGCGCCCTGAGGGAGCCAGGGCGGCCGCTCGCCCGCCCTCCCGTCCCGCGCCGCCCGCGGTGCCTGCCCTCCGCCTCCCGCGCCGCGCGCAGCCTCCACTCCTTTCTTTTTGCTCTGCAGGG